AAATCTGTGTCTAGAGGGACAGGCACGGCCGGGCGAGGTGGTGGCATTATGACCTCCTCACTGGCGTGACCCCTGTAATATAGCCGCTGGAGCGTCGGCACCCTTTCGGCCTCCCGTCGGCAAGCTCGCTCCTTCAGGACATCTCTTAAGTCCTCTGAACGGACGGAGTAAGAATATCCCGAAGTGGTCGTCGAACGTGAGGGATGGTAGGTACTAGCTTGCGCGCTAGACTTCCCTACAAGCGTGTCTAGGTCTCCACCCCTATAGCTTCTGGTGATAGAAAGGGAGAGAGTGCGCCACTGGCTCTGGCTACCTGAACGACGGGGTTGGGTGCGCTCACTGTGGTCTCCCACTCTAGCAACACCCTTTCCTTTGACCTGGCGTTTGAGAGCTTCCATCTCTGCCGCCATTCTTTGGATGACAGTGTCTTGGTCCCTTAACTTGTGCTCCAAACGTCTAGCGTGCGATTCTCTTCGCCGCTGGTGTTCGTCTGGGCTCCGTGAATGACCAAAAATTCTACCGCGCTTATCTCACGCATCTCTTGAATGTCCTCCTAGGGAAGTCTCCAGGTCCGCCATGTTCTGAACGGCGGGGAGTCCTTCTCTCCGTCTGGCTGATTCTGGGGTAACACCGTCAATGGCAGACAATGGTATTTCGTTGTTGTTCGCCATTGAAAGCGATCGGATGTGCTTGGAAGACAAGGTTTTGTCTGTTGAACTATTCCCACAGACGGCGCCAATTGTACGGGGAGCAAATATTCCTCAGCGCCCGTACTCCTTTCTACCAAGCTCCTTGTCTGTCCGATCAACTTGCGAACACAACGGCGGTGAGCTACTAGACGGTGTGTGGCTGGAAAACCCCTTCGACGGTCAAGTTAGCACACACTCAGGGATAGAGCGAGAGAGGAGAGACTTGAATGTATAGATTTATCTCACCAAATTATGTTCCATCTACAGCATGGGGGGCGCAGTCATGCTTATATACTTTCTGCGCTCAACTCTGCACCCATTAGTCTTTTTACACGTAAAGCTGCTCTTCTATCTATCAGCACAAATCCAGCGAACACCATCTAACCAAACCGCCAGACAACATTAGCGGGAACTCGACAGCCCGACGGTATCACCCCGGCCTCCTTCGACCGAGCTACTTAACGAGTCCAACAGTGCTACTCGCCGAGCTCCATCACAACCGAGCTCGATAGCATTCCAGTACGGCCGAGCTCCAGACAGGTTAGGCTGGTCTGTGAGAGACTTTTCTGCCTAGCTACATGCGCGAACAACAAGCCTGGGTTGACAGACGATCATCTCGGCCGAATGGGCCCTGGACCTCAACCGAGCAATCCACTCTAGTTCAGCCAACGTTAGCTCGGCCCAAACACACTCGGACCTCTTTTTAGCCCGGTCATTATCACAGCCTAAAGCCAGATTAAGAAATCTCCCTCACAGGGTATGTCTTTACTCTTGGTGGTGCGGCTGTATCTTGGAAATCTTCCAAATAGACTTGCATTGCTAGGTTTATTATGAAATCAGAATTCATAGCTTTAGATAAAGCTGGAAAAGAAGCAGAATGCCTTCGTCATTTCCTTGAAGATATTCTAATTTGGCCAAAACCGGTGCTTGTTATATGTATACATTGTGATAGTCAATCAGTAATTGGTAGAGCACAGAGTCATATATATAATGGTAAGTCACGACACATTCGTTGTCGACATAACACCGTGAGACAACTACTCTCTAATGGAATTATTTCCATTGAATATGTGAAGTCTAAAGACAATATAGCGGATCCACTAATCAAAGGGTTAGCAAGAGAGTTAGTTCAGAATTCATCGAGGAGATTGAGACTTAAGCCTATTAAATAAGAGTTACCACAATAGCAACCCAACCTAGTTTGACTGGAGATCCCAAGATCTAGGTTCAAAGGGATAACCGAGTTGTATATGACTCAGAAGGATCACTGGGGAGTCAAACTCCTACCCATTTCTATGATAAAATAGTGATGTCTGCAGCGTTTTAGGTTAAGTAATACTTTTAATAATTCTTATATCTGGGTATACCTAGTGAAGTATGACATAATACTTTTTATAAGAATCACCTATATGAATGTGAACTGGGCCGGTTCTATGAGATTTGTGAAGGGTTACAATTCTCTAGAGCACTCATGAAAGACCAGGTTGCTCAAGGTCAAAATGAACACAATAGTGAGAACTAAACTGTGTCTGATAATATACTGTGTGAATTCTATTTTCTTGGTTTACACAAATGAATAAACAGTTCAAGACATCATGTTTACTAGTTAGCTAGTAAATTCGATAGTGTCTCACAAGGGAAGGTCCAAAGCCAAAAGCTACCTATCATTTGCAGAATGTTCCCAATTTCTGTACTATTTGTTATTAGATCATGTTGTTGCATTTTCTTTTCGTCAAATTCCATTCATGTGGGGGATTGTTGGAATTTATGATTTTTATAGGCTTATTTTGGGCTAACTTTGATCCCAAAATTGAGTGGGTCCCACATGTCTTTTGAGGTGGGTCAAAAGAGGTGATGTATTTTTTGTTGCATGGCAAGGCACACGGTGAAGACAGTTCTTCAAAACCATTTATGAGTGAATGAGAAGTTGATGTCGTTTTCAGGTTCGTGAAATAGGAATTGAAGAAGTAAAATGTGGGTTTCTTTGAAATGGTTATCCCACATTGGAAACTTAAGTGAGTTTATGTGTGTATATAAGTTCTAGGTGGCAACACTTGGCTTGAGCTCAAAGGGGCATCCCAAGTTTGTAGAAGGGAAGAGTTATAGACAAAGTGAACCTTGGCTCAAACCACTACACACGCACGCCGCCGCCACTGTTTGTCCGGCCGAGTCGTGCCGGGTGCGGGTGTGGGTTATGGGTCGGGTCGGTTCCAACATTAATTTTTTGGACAAAATTTATTTGAATTTTTTCAACTTCTTGTAGGCAAAATTATTTGAATTTTAGAATGAAATTAATTTAATTTTTGTGCCAAAATTTTTCTGTCCAAACAAGCCTCCACCGGTCCAATTTTCAACAGATTTGAAACTGCACAGTTTAGACAGATTCATACAGTCCCAGCAGTTCGGACAGATCAAACAATTCCAGCAGAACTGTTGAAATTTGAACTGTACCTGTTCATTTAAAAAACACACCTGTTCGGTTTGAAAATCGAACCTGTTCAGTCCTATAAATACCAAGGCATTCCAGCAGATTTTAGTATTCCGAAAATCTGTTTCCTTCCCTTTCTTTGTGCTCTTTTGTATATATATTCTACATATTATTTTAGGAAAATTTCTGAGAGTATAGAACATAGGTTTTTGTTTGCCGTACAAATTGTTTAGAGTGCTACTACAATTTGTGAAGATTATTGTATCTTGGGAGATAGACGCCATTTATCCGTAAGCACCGTAGTGAGGCAAATCTATTTTAAGGATAAAGTGTCATACACTCGACTTAATCTTTTTGTACTTTTATATTTCGGTAAAATAAATTCTGTGAGTAATTTATTTTTATTTGTTTGATTTGTTTCAAGTTATTTATTTTACACAGAAGATTGTTTCAACAGTTATTAGTCTAAATCATGGGATCCCTCACTTTTGTGTTAGAGTTTTTATGAGACAAACTGTTATGTGTCAATATTTAAATGAAATAGATTATTGATTCAGGAGTATTGAATAATTTCTCGATAGTAGGGATTTGTTTCATGCATACGAATGATTAATATCATACCATACGCCAAATTCAAAAATGTGAAATCCTCTTAAAAGTCTTATAATTATATGAAAAATGATAAACAAGTCCATTTTATAGACTACTTTTTAGGCCTTGGTCTCGTTTGGGAACATGTCCTTTTTTGTAACTTTTTGAATTTTTGGCTAAAATATAATTTTAAAAAATTAGTATGTTTGGGATGACTTTTTGATTTTTTAGGAAAAGATATGTAAAAAGTAGAAAGAAAAGGAAATCTTTAACTTTTTGGTATAGGTTGTTGACTTTTTAATTTTTTTAATTACTTTTGACTTTTTAATTAAAAAAATCACTTGCCAAACGAAACTTTAATAACATGTAAATGAGATGATTGATCATTAAAAAAGATATAAGAGAAAGATTTACTTTAAATAATTTAAAATCATTAAATTGGCAACTAGAAAGGACACATCAACACAACATCATGTCTAATGTTTCATTTGTTAGCTCCAACCAACATTGGGGAGTTAATGAAGGTGGCTCCAAGTCAAGAAGTACGAGGAAAGAAGGAAGATGGCAAGTGGTAGACCAAGCTTAATAATTTTTTTTTTTTTTACTTTGTTTCTGTTTTTTTTTTTTTTTTTTATAAATTGAGGTGAGGAGGAAGGGAATAAATATAACATAGACAAAGTGAGGCAACACAGAGTGTATATGTAATCTGAGAGTGAGAGAGTTCTATAGAGGGTTGTGAGGTGTGAGTTCTGTAATCTCCCTCCAAGATAATTCTATAATGGAAATTTCTCTCTTTAGACGTAGACAATTGCCGACCTACATAAATCTCTTGTGTCTCATTTTTCTCTCTATGTAATTGATGTGTTTGAATTTTCGTTTTATTGAATTTTAGTGCTTTATTGATTTTTTCAATTCATAAACATTTATTGTTGGAAAAATTTTATAAATTTGAAATCAAATGAGGCAAGAGGTTAAAAAGGGTTATTTGTGTTAGAGCCCCCTTATTACATAATTTAACAGTGAATTCTTTACTTATTTGGAGATGTAGCTACGGATTAGCTGAATTACCTTAAATTATTATGTCTATTGTATTTCATAGTTTTTTTTATTCTTTTCGATGTTCTCTTTTTAGGTGCATGCACGAGTGCTCTCCTCTAATTTTGTGTTGGCATTGTATTACTATTATGTGAGATTGTTGTGCTTCAAAAGTGACAATGGCTCTAACCAAGAAAATACTAGGTTCTTGTTTAAAAAAAGAAAAGAAAAAGTAAGCTGAATTTAAATTAGGACTAGGTTAACTTATCATATATTGGAGAGTATCACATCCCAAATTATGGTAGAATACATGAACTCTTATTTTCACTAACTCGTGCTATATTGCACAATAGTGATACAAGTACAATCATAAGCTATATATCTCAAAAACTGCAATGAATATGTAGGAAGTTCAATAATGAACTAATTCATGCAAAGCACAACTTGAATTTTGGTGAAATGACCATTTTCTCGTACCCAACTCTAGAAGTAGTCCTTGTAAAGTGTTGTCCAATGAAATTTCTTGTGCTTTGATATTTGAAAGTTCTGATCAAATGAGACTGAGTTTTTGAATATTTCTTCTCCAGTTTGGAAGGAAATAATGGGAGTAGAGGCTTCAAGGGTTTATGAATTTGATATTCTGGAGGAATATAAATCGCTTTCTTTATATCATGAAGTAGATCCGTGTTGGAGTCGAATAGATTGGTAGAGTAGAAAAACATTTGAAAGACTTTTAGACATGATAAGTGGAGAAGCTTGCATGGTTTAGGCAAATCATTTAAGTCATCTATCAAAGCGAGTTTGAGTAACTCTCTCTTCTTTTCATCCAATATCTCATTAGCATATGCAATCGAATCTTCAATCTCTCCTTGTCGAGACCTATTCAAGTGGAGCAATACAAGGTTCGTTTTCCCATCTAGCTTCTCTCTCTGCAAGTACACACACGATATGAGAAATTTTAGAAAATATTCTGTTTCATTTTTAGGTTCTAAAAATTATTTGAGTTTTTAATTTGTATATTTTTATTTTTAGTAATTTTTTAAAATATTTTAATAATTTTATTTTAGTTTTTAAATTCACTTAATCTAGATACACTTAAAAAGTACAAAAATTATGCAAAAAACTTTCAAAAAGTCATTGAATACAAAAAAAAAAAATATTAAAAAATAAATTTTTATATTTTGTTGTATTTAATGAATTTTTAAAGATTTTTTGTACAAGTTTTATAAAACTGTTTTTAAAAATTGTTTTATAAAACTGTTTCAAAAAACTGTTTTTAAAAATTCAAAACCAAACAGTCTATATTGGTATTGTTTTAATATGCATTGAAGATTTGTTAAATTACCTCGTAGCTTTGAATGTCATTCAGCAATCGTGTTGTAGCCATGAGTAATTTTGTAATGGTTTCGTACTGGCAGCATTTGAGTTTGTGATTTGGTAATTTCGGGTTTAAGAAACATGAAGCCGGTAGAACCATGGTATGGGCAGCGATAGAGGTCATGCCAGTGTCCAGATATTCATGCAATGATGGCATATATCCGGTGCTGCTCCATGTAGCTTCCACCATCCATGAGGCAAATGTTTCTCGCCACTGTTGTACATGAATTGATTTTGTGAAAAATTATTATTTCAAACTTCAATCATATTAGAGATGACAAATATCAAAAAGAAAAAGAGTACATAAATCATACAATGTCTTGAAGATTTTCAGTTATGTCACTTCCTTCTTGATGGAGGTGTTTCTTCGCCGTGTCACTCACAAGATCATCAAGTGCATCAAAGATAATCTTAGCATGGCCAATTAAACCTTTTCCATCCCATCTGCAAATAGAAAATGTAAGGAATGAGTTGATGGGTACTAGAATCAAATAATTTTAAAAAATAAAATAAGAGGATTGCACCTTTGAATTGCTTCAGTTAAGCATTGTAACTCCTTTATAGAACCTTCCATATCAAAAAAATCATCTGCAACTGTTATAAGTATTCCGCTCTTTGCAACTAATAGTCGAACAACAGAATCATGTGGCAGAGTACTACTAGCAGCCACCGCGAAATAACAATAGGTAGTTTTCTCCCTTCCAAACCCCATATCGCTAAGACCTCGTTCCTTTGACCACCTATATATCCATGGCATCGATATTACATCAATATAGCACTTAAGGAAATTAGTAATGTTATACAAACAAAAACTACGCACAAACAATTTTGATACATAAATTCCAATTACAATGATGTGTTAGTGAATTTTTTCTAATTATAAGCTCAAACGATGACTCTTATTTTTTTATTTTTCATTTTTTTAAAGTGATAAGACCACAATGCATAAAAATTATGTTTGAACATTACTAGCTCAATGTTTGGTTTACAGGTAACGAAATATTGTGCATACCTTTTCAATTCTTCCAATTCGTTCTGGTAGATTGATTGCCGAAACTTGTAGTTTTCCACAGCTAGCTTCATTAGGTTCTTGTTTTGAAGACACGATAACCTAGTAATTTGAATTTTTTTAATGCTAGAAATATTTTTACAACCAGTTTTAGCCTACTAATGATCTTGTTAATGAACTTAGTGACTGGTATACCTATAGAAGGAGGCCTTTGCAACCCAAAGAGCATCAACATTGTTTGCTTCAATCCAAAACCTATGATCAAGATGATCCATTCTAGCAATCCATGGAAGACTTAGCTCGTGCTCAGCCTATAAATTGGCATGAACTCATATCAATTTACGGCAAGAAACACCATTCATTTAATCCAAATTTGGTCTCCAATGTATAAAAAATATTTTAATTTAATCACTTAAATTTTAAATTGTGTCTCCTAGATAAGTTAGATTGAATTGAACACTTCTTATACATTGAAAATCATATTGACACAATTTAATCACGGGGCTCAAATTGAACCAAAAATATAATTAATCCAAATATATAAATATATTTCCTTCATTACCACTTCCTGAAGGTTTGGGATCATAACAAGATTATCTTCTTCACATCCTGGCACCATATTTTTCTCAAGTAATTTCCTTGAAAATGATCTTGCCTCCTTTAATTCATACTCTCCTGAAAACATAAGATCAGTAGCTCTATAAACACTGATCATTGCACTCATGAAACATCCACTGTTATTTTCAATGTAAGTCAAGATGTCTTCATGATGTACAAACCAACAGAAGCTCCCTGTACACAAAGTACACTTGTTATTTTGACATATATATACACATATATATAAAATAGGAAAAAAATTATACCAGAAGTTCTTATAGTTTAGTTCTCATGTAATTTTAAACTTGTAATTTTAGGAAAATGTTTGAGGGCCACAATTTTTGTAGCCACAATGGCTCAAAATTGCCAAAATAACGTCGTTTTGGCATGTTTTGCACCTAAAACGACGTCGTTTTGGCAGTTTTGAGCCATTGTGGCCACAAAAATTGTAGCCCTCTAGCATTGTTGGTAATTTTAATTGGCCTGATAATGACTGAATTTATGATTTTGTTTTACTTTGTCCAATTGATTATAATTATTAGAATTTTTGATAGAAAATAAACACATAAGAAGCATGCGTCATGTTTTTAGGACAGAATGGTAAACTTACACAATTTAGAGATCATTTCCTTTCAAAAACTCTAGTCGGTGTTGTCAATTGAATCAAAGAGACACAAAATTTAAAATTAATAGTCAAAATCAAAACTAGTTAAAAGTGTATAGACTAAAATAACACAATAAATAAAATGTAAGAAGTACAAATGTAATTTTTATAAGAGAGAGAGAGCCATACATGGAGTCACTTTATACCCATGCATCCGCAAGAGCCGAAATGCTAAAGAGTCTTTGTATATCTTTTGAGGATTTAAATTAACATTTCTCATCTCTGCCTCATGCTTCTCGTATGTCCTATAAATATTTTAATTGAAATTTTTGAATAATCTAAAAAAGTTAGTTCATAACATTTATGGACAAACACACAACAAATATACTTGACACATAAACTGTTGCAAAAAAGTATTTTTACCAATAAACCTCTGACAAAATTTCTTCAATCTCTTCATTAAAATACTCAGCCAATCCTAACTGTTGCATTTGATTAACCATGCAAAGTTTTATAAGCTCTTCATCCATGGGATACATTGCTGGAACTGCACAAAAATCAAATATTTTTTAAGAATGTATGTATTTATATACACATATATGTAACTTCTATTTACAGATAGGCCAAATTATACTTTTCACCCTAATAATTTCATTTAAATTTTACTTTGATCTCTATTGTTTTTTGAACAATTTAGTTTCTGCACTTCAAGTTCAGTTTCAATTTAGTCGTTGCCCCTTTATTTTCTATGTATATACCTTGGGAGACTGATAATTATATTACAAAATTGTTAATTTTAATGGCCGATTTGAAATAAAAGACTAAATTAAAATTAAATTTAAAACGCCAAAATCAAATTATTTAAATTAACAAATAAAAACCAAATTGAGTTAAACTGCAGAGTAAAATTTTAAATATTTATGTATCGTATTGTCCGTAATGTAACGATATTTTAGACTTTATATACTGTTATTTACTGATACATCATCCCATATTATCTGTTCGTCACCGATATCGGCCAATATTATGACCATGCCGCCAATATTAATATATGGAGCCTTCACTCAACAAGCTATCTAACCTCCATAAGGACATCTTTGAACAAGAGATAGTAAATAGTCCTTGCACTTATCATCTCCTGTAACCATGAATGCCTGAGCTGTCGCAGATGGTGATTGAAACAAAGAGCCATCTTCGCTCAAGTACTTCGCTATAACTTCTCGATCAATATCACATGTTGTTGACAACGCTTCAAGATAAGATAATAATGGAGGATAGTGATAGTCATCTACAAGTTCTTCTCTGCAAAATGCATGCATGTAAGTCATTTTCATGTTGTTAATCAAATTGAACCAAATGAATATTTTTCAAGTATATGTAAACAAATTACATTTTAAGAATTTGTTGCCTCTTGTAGAACCCATGGGACAATACTCCATTTAGGTTGTCAGCAACATCAAAACCTGTTTCTTGGGCAAGTTCCACCATTGGTGGAAAAACAATGGCAAACCAACGAGGAAGAAAGTGTTGTTTTTCTTTAAGAAGCATCTCTGCATTTTCATGAACAAATGCCAACCCTGACATGTACAAACAAGCATATTTTCAATCATCTTTAAAATAAATAAAGAGTAATGTTAAAGGTCTCAAAAATTTTACCAAATGTCTCACATAAGTGTGGGACCCACACAATGTGAATCTCATAAAGGTCCCACATCCACATTTGATAGAACTTTTGGTAGAATTTTTGAGTCTCTAGCATTTTTGTTAAATAAATCAATCAATCGGAGTAGAAAAAAAGAGCAAAATAAAGGAGTGTGAAATTTAACATTAATGCTTAGTGCACTAAAACAAATTTGGAGAGTAAGTATTTTAACTAAAAAAATCAAAAAATCATTATAAATTTTTATATCACTCTCTTTATTTTTTTGTATATTTTTTTTTATAAAAAATTTCTACAAGTTCTTCTCTGCAAAATGCATGCATGTAAGTCATTTTCATGTTGTTAATCAAATTGAACCAAATGAATATTTTTCAAGTATATGTAAACAAATTACATTTTAAGAATTTGTTGCCTCTTGTAGAACCCATGGGACAATACTCCATTTAGGTTGTCAGCAACATCAAAACCTGTTTCTTGGGCAAGTTCCACCATTGGTGGAAAAACAATGGCAAACCAACGAGGAAGACAGTGTTGTTTTTCTTTAAGAAGCATCTTTGCATTTTCATGAACAAATGCCAACCCTGACATGTACAACAAGCATATTTTCAATCATCTTTAAAATAAATAAAGAGTAATGTTAAAGCCCTCAAAAATTCTATCAAATGTCTCACATGAGTATGAGACTCACACAATGTGAATCCCATAAGGATCCCACACCCACATTTGATAGAACTTTTGGTAGAATTTTTGAGTCTCTAGTATTTTTGTTAAATCAATCAATCAATCGGAGTAGAAAAAAAAGAGTAAAATAAAGGAGTGTGAAATTTAACATTGATGCTTAGTACACTAAAACAAATTTGGAGAGTAACTATTTTAACTAAAAAGTCAAAAAATCATTATAAATTTTTATATCACTATCTTTATTTTTTTGTATATTTTTTTTTATAAAAAATTAAAAAGTTACTAAAATATCTTGTTCTCAAGCGAGACCTAAGATTTTAGAGATAAAAATTTAGAAATAAAATTATTATTTAGGGACAAAATAATAAGTTGTCAAAAGTGTATATTCTCAACAAAATTGAACATATGAATTACTAAGTGCATTTATTAACCATATTTTAAAAATTTTGCTCTTTTTTTTTTGTTTTGTTGGATCTGCAAAGAAAGTTTTATTGATAAAACACATATAAAGTACGTAAAAATACATCAATAAAAAGAAACTTGGAATTAGAAAAAGCTCCAACCTCTTAGTTGGTGAAGAACCAACGAACAGAGAAAGAGCAAAGACAAACAAGAGTAAAGAAAGACAGTAGCAACACCTCTGATTGAACCAATGAACAAAGAAAGAGTAAAAAAATTTGCTGTTAAAATGACATTCTTTTACATTTTGGGATAGTTTTTTAGTGTCGGTTCTCATGATGATAATAAGAATTGGTTTTCTAATAAATTTTACAAGAAATATTTCGCTTTTAGGACAAAAACTTTTAGATCCTAAAACTCTTATATGTTGTAGTAATATCTAGAAAATAAAATGTAGAAAAATAAAAAGAAAGCTTATTGTGTGATTAAAATTCATTACAAATTATTCCGATAGTCTTTACATTTTATCCCATGTGTTATCTTGGTCTCTATATTTTTAATTGACTCAATTTTTATTCTTAATTTTAGATTTTTGTGTCAGTTTGTTCTAATTGATTTTTGATGAAAAATTATCATTGAGTTAGTTGAGGTACTTACTAAATTGAGCAAGTTTATACCTGTACCCCTAAAAGCATGATATATGCCACTTTTGCTTATTTTTCATAAAAGCTTGTAAGTAATTGAATCAAATTGAAACAAAATCATAAATTCACACGTAAAATTGAGCTAATTAGAATTACATGAACAAAAATGCTACAATAACCAAAGTATAGGAATTATAAGCATAATTTGTCCAAATTCATTTTAGGTGTGAAGTGAGTAACACTTAAAATAAATTTCAACTACATAATATACTTTCGGTGCAGAATCTGTTTTTATTTTTGTGGACCAAACACAAATGAAAATTTAAATTGCAAGCTTTTGGTGCATTTTTATATAGAGAACATGGAATAATTAGTGTAGACGAACATATAAAAATCTTATGTACTTAAATTTATTGCAATTTTAAAAGCTTTATGTACCTTTCTTTATATTTGTATCTCCAACATTCCACTTTTTTAGTGCAACCATGGAAGCAAGAGTCGCAGGAAGGCTATCAATGGTGGGAACACCATTGCTATCGGACTCTCCCCAAAACCCTTCTTCTTTCTGGTTTCTTAATACCCAATCCAAACAACCCCTGAACATGGGATGATCACAGTGTTGGATGTTTGGAATCATGGCTAACCATGCTGTGTCATAGGCAGATTTGGAAACAAATGAGTAAAGATCAAAGTTTGAGAACATCTCTTTTTTGATCTTCTTAACTAGAGTTTCAATAGAGAGTAGTGAGGATTCCATTTCCATATGCATGGACTGAAAAGAAAAAGGACAAGGTTAGCTCACACCTTTTGTTTTCAATTTAATAATCAACCAAACAAGCTATTTATAGAGATGCTTGAAAGGGAATGCTATGCTACACACCCTCTCAAAAAGATATTTATTATATACACCTCATAATTAAAAAAGAAAATGATATAATTTTATATATTTTAAATCATAACTTTAAAAAAATATTATAATTAAATACAATATAAGGCATAACTAAAATTTCCATGCTCCGTTTGGGAAGTGAGTTGGTTTTTTGACTTTTTGAATTTTTTTCGCTATTTTAGCCTAGGCTAAAAAACTTGGTTTGAAAAAAGCTTTTTGGCTTTTTAGCTTTTTGGCTTTTTTGACTTTTTTTTGTGAGAGAAGAGTATAATAATTATGGGTTAGATGTGATATTTTGTTTGTTATGACTAAAATAGCCTATTTTATTTTTTGTGATTAAAATAGCCCGAAACTAACTTGCTAAACGGATTAAAGAAGAAGAAATGACATAATTGGAAGTGCACATGGTACATCCCTTTTAATAGTGTGTATATTAGAATTTCCCATCTAGAAATGTACATGCATTGAATTTAGAGTTGCATTCCTTCTGGTCCGTCATTTAGGTAGTGTTGTCTCGGTCTGTGGAGTTTATCATGAGTTTTGTTTTGATAATTAGATTTGTTCATTTTGTAAAATACTTCATATATATCATTTCCACACAAAATTAGGTCAATTTAATAATTATAACTTATTCAATTTATTGTGTTTTTCACAATATATATATATATATATATATATATATTGTGAAAAACACAATAAATTGAATAAGTTATAATTATTAAATTGACCTAATTTTGTGTGGAAATGATATATATGAAGTATTTTACAAAATGAACAAATCTAATTATCAAAACAAAACTCATGATAAACTCCACAGACCGAGACAACACTACCTAAATGACGGTTACCCCTAATGGACACTACAGATTTAGAAACTCTCAAATCTAGGAGTGTTCGCGGTTCGGTTTGGGACGGTTTGCGATTCGGTTTGGACCTATCCGCATGTATGTGGTTTGAGGAAAAGTCAACCCGCAACCGCCCGCAATGCGGTTTGCGGTTTGTGCGGATAGGGTTCGCGGATGCGGGCGGTTTGCAGATTGAACTTTTGTTTAAAATTTTTTTGTTAAACCCTTTTTTTTCCCTATTTTTTATCAATATTTCTTTTAGACCTTTTTCCTCTCATTTTCTAAAATGCTCTAACATTAGTAATTAATGAATTAAAATTTATAAAAAAACTTATAAAAAACTTATAAAATAAAAAACAAAATAAAATCAATTCGTAACCTAAACAAATTATTCAAAATCTAATATTAAAACTTATTATTTTAATTAAAATATGTATAAAAAAATGGTTAGTTTAATAGTAAAATCAATATTTGTCTCATCCATTTACTGGCTGAGCATGTAGAAGGCATAAAATGAATTGAAAGAAAAGTAGACATATGGAGTAAAAAAGCCAACCCGCAACTGAAAGAAAAGTAGACATATGAATTGAAAGAAAGGTAGACAGATAGAGTGAGTGAAGGCATAAAATGAATTGAAAGAAAAGTAGACATATGGAGTAAAAAAGCCCACCCGCAACTGAAAGAAAAGTAGACAGATATAGTGAGTGAGTTTGATTAGGGTTTTTTTTTTTTGAACGATCAAATTTGAAGGGAAAAAAAGGATTTTTTTAAATGGTCAAAAAAAAAAAAAAAAAAAAAAAAATTGAATTTTATGCGGGTGGGTTGGGCGGGTGCGGGTCAAACCTGCAACCCGCCCGCAATCTGAAAATTAGATAAAATTCAAACCCACCCTACCTTAATGTGTTTGCAAAACTGCCCATACATGCGCGGTTCAGATCGATTAGGGTGGTTTGGACAGGTCGGATGACCCTATGCCCAGCCCTACTCAAATCTAATTGAAGGGAGCAGAAAGACACCAAATCCTTAAATTTTTCAATAAATTTTCACTTGGGACCCGCAAGTACAATTACGTATAGAGAAATATTACCAGCTTAGAAAAATATATTTAGAATTTATTCAGAAATATTGACATTTAGATTCATTTTACATATAAACTCTATAATACACAATTTCAATTTTCACCGCACAATCCATTTTTGACCAAAATTTGGGGTTGAGACTTGACCCGGTTTAGAAAAAGACTATTTGAGTTATTTTTTTTACTTGACCAAAAAAATTATGTTTGAGATGATGGTTAATTTTTTTAATTAATTTGATAATTGTGAAAATAAAATAAAATAATTATAATACAAATATGGCATTTTATTTATTAATTATTTTAATTTATTTGATTTTTAATATTTGTTTTAGGCCTTATTTGGGATACTTTAAAAAAATTAAAAAATCAAAAAATCACTATCCTATTTAAGTCACATCATTTTATTTAAGTCACATCAAATCTCTACCATATCACTTTAAACCCAATTTATACTTAATTCATATTTTATAAAAAATTAAAAAATATACTTATTTGAATCATCACAAACTACCCTTTAATCGGAATCACGCCTCTCAACCGGGCCATCTGTTATGTATAACGTGGTATAGGTGCCAAATTCATTCACGATCCCTTGTGATGGGATGTCCCTTTTAACGTATCATAGACAGGCGAGCTGACCCACAAATTGATAGGGATACAAAATGCTATTCACTGATAGGGATACAAAGAAAAATGATTTAGACCTTTAAAAAAAGAGTTTTAATGAAGTATTAATTTGTCTTTTTTTTTTTTTCATTTTTTGTCTTTTATTTTATTTTATTTTATTTTATTTTTTTTAAGGTGGACAGCTCATTAGAGCTGCACTGTAGCAGCTCTAATTAGAACTTTACAGCACTTCCGGGGATACAAAATGTCCCTTTTTATTTATTGATTTTTTATTTTTTTGTAAAAAAAAAAAGAAGACAAATTTCACTTTGATTCTTTTTATTTTTAATTTAAATAATTTGATTCCTACACTTAAATCTCATTTCAAGTTAATTGTTACTTTTAAATTTTTGTTAATTTTTCTTACGTGTATACTTTAAAAGGCTAATAAGTATTTCAAAATCATTAAGTTTAAATTATAAATTGAACAGAAAAATCAAATTAAAAATAGATTTAAAGAATGGTGATTAAACTGTTCAATTCAATTAATAGGAAATAAAATAGAATATAGAAAAATCAAATTAAAAATAGATTTAAAGAATAGTGATTAAACTGTTCAATTTGATTAATAGGAAATAAAATAAAATATAGATCAAATTATAGATGTTAAAAATATAAGGATCATGATTGAGACCCCCTTAAAACTCCTACCCCCACCACCCCCTCACACACGTGGGGGTTGGGGTGATTGGAGGAGAAGGAAAAAAAAAAAAAAAACTAGCCAATCAGAGAGAGAGGGAGTCAAGGGGGTGCCCCTTGTGGAGGTCCAAGTCATTTTCCAGATAATAATATGTCCATCACACGAACTACTCTTATAATATTCAACAATTAAGCAAAAACATAACATTAAGCAAACATTGTTTAACATTAAAAAAAAAAAAAAACTTAATATTTAGCAAATAAACATACTATCATATATATACTATATTATATATATTTTAGCAGATTTTTTTTAAAATATATATATATATAAAGGATATATATAATATATTTTTTTAAAAAAAAAGAAGATGAAAAGCCACAAGTGGATTATAATCTACTTCTCAGATTATAACCTACTTCCTCTCTCACAAAAATATTGCTTATAAACAACTTTTATTAAAAAATTAATTATAACCATCTTCTCAAAATAATTCAAACAAAAAAATAGGTTCTTATATATATAGAGATATAGATATATGTCTGCACGACTACCAAAATTTATTTTTTCATATTGAATACTTCCTTTGAATCAGACGCTAATTATCCTTTACATTTTGTGTGGGGGGGGGGGGGGGGTTGATGTTATCTTTTAGATAGCAAACCGTACTGGAACCTTCCAGTGGATTATGAGAGTAAGATTGAAAAAAAAAAAAAAAGATAAAAAATTTGAGCCAATCAAAAATTAGTGGAGGGTGCTAGCGTCTGGGACATTTTTCTTTAGATAAATTATATTTTCAATAAAGATTCGGATCTCCTTGGAGTCACCCCACGACTCCATTGCTTTTGATTGGTCAATTTTTTTTTTTTTTTTTTCCTTTTCTCCCAATTCCCAACCCCTACGTGTGTAGGGGGTGGTGGGGGTAGGAGTTTTAAGGGGTGCTCATCATATCGATCTTATATTTTTAACATCTATAATTTGATCTATATTTTATTTTATTTCCTATTAATCAAATTGAACAGTTTAATCACTATTCTTTAAATCTATTTTTAATTTGATTTTTCTATATTCTATTTTATTTCCTATTAATTGAATTGAACAGTTAATCACCATTCTTTAAATCTATTTTTAATTTGATTTTCTGTTCAATTTATAATTTAAACTTAATGATTTTGAAATACTTATTAGCCTTTTAAAGTATACACGTAAGAAAAATTAACAAAAATTTAAAAGTAACAATTAACTTGAAATGAGATTAAGTGTAGGAATCAAATTATTTAAATTAAAAATAAAAAAAAATCAAAGTGAAATTTGTCTTCTTTTTTTTTTTTACAAAAAAAATAAAAAATCAATAAATAAAAAGGGACATTTTGTATCCCCGGAAGTGCTGTAAAGTTCTAATTAGAGCTGCTACAGTGCAGCTCTAATGAGCTGTCCACCTTAAAAAAAATAAAATAAAATAAAATAAAATAAAGACAAAAAAATGAAAAAAAAAAAAAGACAAATTAATACTTCATTAAAACTCTTTTTTTAAAGGTCTAAATCATTTTTTCTTTGTATCCCTATCAGTGAATAGCATTTTGTATCCCTATCAATTTGGGGTCAGCTCGCCTGCCTATGATACGTTAAAAGGGACATCCCATCACAAGGGATCGTGAATGAATTTGGCACCTATACCACGTTAT